AGTTTGATGATCATCTAAATTTTTTTTTTGTATCATTGACACTTATAAATTTACAGGTGATTATGTATTGTGTTACATTATATTTCTGGAAAATTTAAGGGGTAATTATATAATAATTTTAGACGATTTCGGGCGATCGAATATTTATGACCACTACTGTAAACAAGAAAAATACATAGCAATACTTCATGCAAAAATGGAGGAATTATACAAACACAATAAAATCATGGTAGAAAAGCTCAACATAACCCTTAAAGCTGTTGCTAGTATCCAGCATATGGTTTTAGATAATACTCATCCTGCCCACATAGTCTTGATCCCAAACTTAACCTATCTGATGCCATCAACACTTTAGAGGATGGTACAGAGGTCCCCGCTTCAGACCTTTTCTTTAAATAATTATGATTGTATAACCTACCACTATTAACACAGTGCTATTTGTTCTCAATATCGCAACACACAATGTTCGTTCTTTTACACACCCACATAAACAACAAATTCTTTTTAACTTATACAAAATTCAACATTTAAATATTATCGCTTTACAAGAAACTAATTTCAAAAATTCATCTCATATACATTTCTTAAAATCTATTTGTTCAGATAAATTTGTACCCTTCTTTAATTTTGACTCTTCTGCTCAAAGTATGGGATTCAGAGTTGGCTTCCTTATTAAAAAATACCTGGCAGATCACGTGTTTTACTACTCTTTCTTTTTTCATCGCATTTTTTCGCTTGATTTTCAATTTAAAAATAAATGCAAACTTTGTATTATTAATATTTATGTTTCCAGTTCAGATAAAAACTTACGTAACAAAACTTACAAGAAAGTAATATACCTCGTAAATGATGCATAACAAAAAGATTACCTTATAATACTGTTTAGTGATTTCAATGCAGATCTTTCACGTACCTCTAATCCTTCAAATTCAAAAGCCTTCTTCACCTCACTTGATAATCTCCACCTGACCAACAATTTAGACCTTATTAAAAATCAGAAATCAACTGATGATCTTATTATCTATGAAACTAATACAGGACGCTCTACAATTGATCACATTTTTATTCATTCTTCATTAGTTCTGGACCTCATTGACCAAGTAGTAAACAAAGTTAATAATGATTTATCAGTTCATGCGATTGTCACAGGTTGGACTGCGGTCATTGTTACACAATTTACCAGGAAAATTCCTGGTAAATTGTGATTTTTTTTGTTTAATTTTAGAAAAATGGGGAATTTCACGTTTGATAAAAAAAGGTA